ACCGGCCGTGGCATCCCTTCATGGCGCCACAGCAGGCGTCCTCCAGTCGGCTGCATCCAGGCCCCTGCAGCCCAGCCCCGCAGAGTCCATCGAGACCAGCTCGCATGGGCGGGCAGGCGGGCATGAGGCCAAGATCTGCGAGGGCAGCTGGTCCCTCCCATAGAGCTGCCTGCCTGCTGCAGGGGCTGAGCAGAGCTGCCTGCTGCCTAAGATGGAGAGAGCAGCCCTCGGGAGGAAGGCTGCTGGGCCCCTCCCACCCACAGGCAGCCCTGTGGGGGCAGACAGGACCAGCAGGCTCCCCGTGATGAGGACAAAGACCCCACCTCCAGGGGAGGTGCTTGGCCTGGGCAGCTGGGAGATATGCTGCCCAGGATCAGCTCCTGAGCAGGCTGTGGGGAAGACAGACAGGGAGGGAGGGACAGAGGAACAGGGAGGGACAGAGAGACAGGGAGGGATGGATGGGGAGCGAGGGGCAGACAGATGGGAGGGAGGGACAGAGACAGAGAAGGACAGACAAACAGGGAGGGGAGGACAGAGAGAGAGGGAGGGGCGGAGGGACAGCAGAGGGCTGTGTCAAAGGAGCCCGCAGCCTCGCATAGGAAGAGTGCAGCGTTGCAAAGAACCAGAGAGGGGCTGCATATGGCCTGGTGTAGAGCCCTGTGCCTGGGCCCTGGCTTACTATGAGGGTCGAGCCCAGCCCTGGGGGCCTCAGAGAGGGAGCCTCTGACCACAGTTGTCCTTTACCCGTGGCCTCCTGGCAGGCCCCCCGGGGCCCATCTCATGGGGGCAGCAGGACTGGCTTCAGGAGAGCCCCTTCCTGGGGCATCCCCAGGGCCACTGCTCCCGGGCAGGAGCAGCTGGCAACAGCAGACAGGGCCGGGAGCTGGCCGTGTGCACCTAGTGGGCACCAAGACCCACAGCCAGCGCGCCTGTGTGTCTGCCAGAGACCTGCAAGGCGGTGCGGGCAGGGGCTGGCACCCAGGGTCTCCCACCCAGGGGCCTCACGTCACGGCCCATGAATCTGTGTGGGGAGGGACGCTGTCCCCAGATGGGCCCCACAAATGTCAGTCCCAGCCGCAGGAAGATGCCCCCTTGGGAAGGTGCAGGATGGTCAGCAACGCCAGATGGTCAGGACCCCCCAGACAGCGGAAGGATGGACAGACGGACGGCCAGGGCTGAGAGGGCAGTGGCACGAGGCTCCTTCTGAGCAGACCAGAACATTCTATATCAGACCAGGTCACGCTGGTGCAGCCACAGGCCATTAACTCAGAGGACAGGCAGTGACCGGGCCTGGGGTGGGGACCCCTGCAGCAACCGGACTGCCCGATCCTCCCCAGGGCCCAGAACTGTGGGCCTGGATGACCCCGGGAGGCTCACTGGAACTTGGCACCTTGGCCAGCAGTGGCTGCCACTATTGGCCCCAACAGCAGTCAGCAGAATGTGGTGCCTTAGACTGAGCCAGCGGGCAGTGGAGCCCCAGAGATGAGCGCACTAGGAGGGGCCCAGGTAGCCAGGCCAGGGGCACCGAGGAGCTCACGGTCCAGTCAAAAAAGGCACATCCATGTCCTTCAGTGGACATTTGACTCCAAATGTCCCAGGCCTAAAGTGCTCTGGCAAACCACAATGAAATAGCACTTCACACCAGTGAGAGTGGCATTTATTAAAAAACTAGCAACAATAAATGCTGGTGAGCATGTGAAGAAAAGGAACTCTCCTGCACTGCTGGTGGGAATGCGGGCTGGTCCAACCACTATGGAAAGCTGTCTGGGGGTTTCTCAAATGGACAAAAAGGAGCGCCTGTAAGATCCAGCAATTCTACTACTAGGGATCTACCCAAAGGGCACAAAAACATTAATTCAAAAGGACATTGCACCTCTATGTTTATGGAAGCACAATTTACAGTAGGTAAGGAAGCAACCCAAATGCCCCCCAAATAGCTGACTGGATCAAGAAGATGTGGTATGTATACACGGTGGAATATTACTCACCTATCAAAAAGGATAACATGCAACATGGATGGAGCTGGAAGGGATGATATTTAGTGAAATAAACCAGAAAGAAAAAGAAAAATATCAAATGGTCTCAGTTATAGGAGGAGTACTGAAGAACCAAATAAAGAATCGGGGGGGGAGGGGAGTAACTATAATAAAGTAAAAATCAAAATCACCAGGCAACTATCGATCAGACACACTCTGTAGGGGAGGAGCAGAGAGAGGACCAGGGCAGGGTGGTAAGAGCACAGAGGACTGTGGTGATGGTGCTCAGGGGAGCTGGTGGTGCGAAATTCACTGGGAGCCATTCATTGTACAAAAAAAGATGATGTAAAAAAAAAAATATTTTTTTTTAAAGATTTATTTATTTATTCATACAGAACTGGGG